AGCACGTTCTCAGGCACTGAAGTGATAGCAGTGAATAAAGCATGCCTGCAAGGTCGTGAGTTCGGTTCCCGGTACCGGAGAAAAAACAAAAAAAAAAAAAAAAAAAAAAAAAAGTAAAATTTACAAGATGCTGGATTGTATATAGGAAAGTAGAGAAGGGACAGTGAGTTTTGCACTGGGGATAATAGTGCCCTTTTAAGTAAGAGCCAGGATATTCTCACTGAGCTCTTGATTGATGTCTCAGCAAAGAATTCAAAGAGGAAAGAGAATAACCCATGGTGATGTCTTAGGAAAGAACATTCTGGAGAGAGAACACAGTACATGTAAATGGGTGATGAAGTAATGTTTGATATGTTTGAGGAGCAGCATGGAGGCCAGTGTGCTAGGGCCATCATTAGCAGTGGGGGGAGTAGAAAAGATGAAGGGGAATTAGATTAAAGAAGGCGCCGGGAGCCAGCACAAGCATAGACCTTTACTCTCAGTTGGGAAGCCAGTGCAGAAATGTTGGTTGTTGTGTTAGGAATAGACTACGAGGTAGACCCTTTAAAAAACTGTGGAATTATTAAAGTAAAGGTTAGCGGTGATTGGATTGGGGCCTAGCTGAGGAAAGTGGGAATGAAGAAGTGCTTAGACTCTAGGTACGTTTTCAGGGCAGTAAGTCAAATGTCGGGTGTGAGAGAAGAGTCAGAGGTGACCTGAAGACTGTGGGGCCTGAACAGCGAGAGGATGCAGTTGTCCTTAGCAAAGACGATGTGTGCACTGTAGCCTGGTGCCTGGCACCCATGACACTTCCGCCAAGGGCGATCTCCTCCTCGGTGCAGAGTAAAGCTGAAGGGCTTTGCTGTTACCCAGCGTGCTGCTGTGCACCCACACAGGCAGATGGACCATGTCACCAGGGTAGTTCTAGAACGTGATAATGTTCAGCTGGAAGATTGGAAATTTTCATTTCATTTCCATCTATTGGCAAGAATTTTATTCCCTCACAGAAGGTAGAGTTTGTCCTTTTCCATATGTTAGTAGTACAGGAATAAGTAATGGCAAGTGTGTGATTAATAACTAAACTTTTTTTTCAAATGAAAGAAAAAGCTTAGTATTTCATGTAAGGAAAATGTGACTTGTTATGCCCATTCTTTTCCTCTCAGGATGCTGCCGTATGGCTGCTTAGCAACAGGAGATCGCTCCGGCCTCATTGAAGTCGTGAGCACCTCTGAAACAATTGCTGACATTCAGCTGAACAGTAGCAATGTGGCAGCTGCAGCAGCCTTCAATAAAGATGCCCTTCTGAACTGGCTTAAAGAATACAATTCTGGGTTAGTTTATTCATTTATTGCTTCATTTCAGGTTAAACGTAGTGACACAGAGGCCTTCCTAAAATCTTACGGATAGTTAACATTGAATTCTACTTTATCTAGAGCAAATTTTAGCAGCCCTGCAATAGAATTACAGTATAGTGTAAGAATTTAAGTATTTTAAAGGTAGCATATTAAAAATTTTAAGTGCATCAACTTCTGTAATTATGTGACTATATGAACTTAAATATTAAATTTTTAATAGATCAATTTTATGATAGAAACAAATGTTTTTAGACTGTGATCTCTCCACACTAAAAAACACACTTCTTAGGATAGTACTATTTGTGGTTATGGTGCTGGACAAGCATTCATGTGCAAGAAGTAAAGAAACTTCACCGCACTGTAGTGGGAATGATCCAGCAAAGCGCACTTGCTACTGTGCATGTAAACCTGAACTCCATTCCCCTTGAAATGTGACCCGGAAGACAGAAATTTGAACGGCTCAGGTCCATTTATCTAATGTCTTTGAAGTTAGCCTGACTTCACTACTCTCTGGCCAGTCCAGCATGTTGTGTTAATGCAGCTTTAGCAGCTTGGTGCTGTAAGTTCTCAGAATTAAAGAGAGTACAGGTGTGGTTTGGTTCCTGTCTCACGCATTTAGAGGCTGAAGACCACTGTTGGTTTTGTTTTTCTCTTGTTTCAGGGATGACCTGGACCGAGCCATTGAAGAGTTTACCTTATCCTGTGCTGGCTACTGTGTAGCTTCTTATGTCCTCGGGATTGGTGACAGACACAGTGACAACATAATGGTCAAAAAAACTGGCCAGGTGAGGATATCATAGAGTCTGACAAGGGCCTCAGTATGTTAAACCCTGCCTTTGTTTTTCCCTCAGTTTCCCTTGGACCCTTATTTTATACACTGTCTGCTTCACATGCTCATTGTTTGCATTAAAAATGGTCAGCATTTACTTAAATGTTTAAAAAGATTATTGTGATTATTTAGAAGGGTCCTATTCTTTCAATATAAAAAATAGTATTTGGGATATATGTTTACCTAACTGAAGGAGCAGGTGATGTGATAGACATACTGACTTTTTTGGGGGTTTTGGTTTTTGGTTTTTTGAGACAGGGTCTTATTATGTAGCCCAGGCTGACCTCAAAATTGTGGTGATCCTCTTGCCTCAGCCTCTCGAGTGAGGATTGCAGGCATGAGCCACCATACCCTGCAAGATATACTGACTTTAAAGAATATAAGCAGGGCCAGGGATATAGCTCAACGGCACAGCGCCTACCTGGCAAGTGCGAGGTCCTGAGTTCAATTTCTGATACCAAAAAAAAAAAAAATACAAGCAGTATTAAAACACTTGGGATGAATCATGCTTACGTCATTTTATCCTTTAGCAAGTCAAATTTAACCATACGTGGGAGTAAGGAGAAACGTAATGCACTACTGTACCAATTTGGGGTACCTAGAGAGACTCAGTCAGGGCTCTGAAGATGAAACACTTTTCAGGTGAATTCCTGAGTGGTGTAGCTTTCCCTAAAATTTTGATATCATGCATAATTTTTCAGTTTAGCCACCCTTAGAATCTTGTCAGTAGAAGCATGCCTGAATGGAAATTTCTGAGTGACTTTGTGAATACCGGCTTCAGTGGAACTCCGAACTTTGTAACTCCTGGGAGTTCTGGATAGTTCAGTTTGTACCCTGGAAGGTTGAACCTTGTGTCCATATTTAAAGATTCTCTCTGATTCTGGTTAATCAGAGTAGATGTTTTAGTTTATCTTCATTTTTCCCTTATATCCTTCTAAAATAATAATGAGGAATAAGGAATACTTAAACCCAAGAAGTCAAAGATGATAGGAAAAGAGGCTACAGGGGGTGAGATACATCAACAGATTTGGAAATGACAGAAGAAAGAAGAGGCAGTAACTTCACAGCTAAGAAAGTGGAAACCTAAGTAGTTGTTGAGTTTTGTCAGCCTCAGAAAAACTGGCATCAGAGGCAGCAAGTCCTGCTCAAGGGCACAGATATGAGAGGAGGTTAAAATGGGATGAATTGGCAGTTTGTATGTGGAGTCATTATTGTTGCAGTCCTTTTCCTTATCCTGAGAATGACATAAAGATTATTCTCTGTAGAAACTTGATTTTTCTGACTCAAAGACACTAGGTTCTATAGAAGCTAAGAAGAAATTGTCACATGAAAACTGGGCACGAAGTAAAAGTTGGCATCGTGAGTGGTGCGGTCTGCAGCCACTTCCACTTGGTCAGCTCCAAGAGCAGTGGCAACTGTGTATGTCCCACAGTGTATGTTCCTCTCACAGAGGAAGTATGAGAAACTCTCATTGGTTCCATGGGAGACGCCTGACAGTTGAGGTCTCCCCCCAGATACTTGTCTGGAAGCCCACCAGTCAACAAACAAGCATACCATGTGCATGGAATTGTCATTTCGCTTTTCATTGAATAATTCTTAAATATGAATGATCAGCAAAGGATTCACAGATGTCTTTTTGATAGGCAACTAGCAATTGCATTTTTTAAATCATGTACACCATGTTTTGAATATGTGTATATTGTAGAATGACTATATCAAGCTAATTATTACATACATTGCACACTTATTTTTGTAGTGCACTTAGAAATTTTCACGATTAGAATACATTATTATTATCTGTAACCACCATGTTGTATAGTAGCTGTCTTCAGCTTATTCCTGGGAAATGAAATCTTGTATCCTTGCACCAAGACCTCCCCACCCCAACCCCCTGGTAACCACCATTCTGTTCTCACACCTCCATTTTCCCATGTTAGGAAGTGATCCCATGGCCTTGCACATGCCCACATGTGCTCTGCCATTGAGCTACACCTCCAGTTCCCTGAATTAACAGACATTTGAGGGAAGCTTCCATGAAAGGTAGAGACTTCTCTCTTCAAAGGGAGAAAAAAGACCCAGCAAAAACAAAGTAACTGCAGTAAACAGAGGGTGGTTTAAAAAATCAAAATTAGAAAAAGGAGCAAGAAGGAAAGCATTGCACCTATGATATAGTGGCAGGTTCTGGTGGTTTTTGTTTTTTTTTAAATTGGAAAATAGAGGCCTTAAAATAGAAGCAGTATGAACATCTTGTGCAGATATAAGTGTGTTACATATGTCAGTGCCTTTTGATCCTCGTGGTAATCTTAACAGCAGAGTAGTAGTAGCATCTCCATTGTATGGGTAAGAAATCGAGGCAGCAGAGAATGGCATTCTCGGATTCACATCCTGGCAGTGTGGCTCAAACCGCTGCCTCAGTCAGCCTCTCCCCGTCTCTGTCTGTCTCTCTCTTTCATGTGTGTACGTTTGTATGTATGTCTGTACACATACATATACAGAAAGGAGAGAGACTCAGTCCAGGGAGTCTCTCTCATTTATATAAGACATTATCATTAGACATTATCTGGTCTAATAAGATCTTAGAAAGAAGTAACAGAAAAAAAGAGGAAGAGAAGGAATTTACTAAGTAAATAATATAAAACATTTTTCCAAGCTGATGTTCACGAACGTCCAGTCGGGAGCACAAATGTTTGCTTATAATGGATGAAAAAGACCCTTACAAAGCCCTTCAGTATTGCAGTGTATCAGACATAAAGAGAAGATTTAAATCCTTCCCAGAGATATAGCAGGCTATGTGCCAGAGTTTAGGACTCAGAGTGACTTGGCTTCTCAAGAGCTACATTGGAATTCTAAAGACAGTGAAAATTAGACTTCATAATTTTGAAGGGAAATGATATTTAACTTAAAATTCTACCATCAGTCAGTCAAATACGAAGGTGAAATAGACATTTAAAATATGCAACATCTCTTTTTCCTTTTCCCTTTGAGGCATTGAGTAGCTCAGTTTCCCAGGCTGGCTTCAAACTCTAAATCCTCTTGCTTCACTCACCCTGCCAAGTAGCTGGGATTATGGGCATGTGCCACTGTGGCTGGCTTTCTGCTCTGCCATTTTTCTCAGGAGGCTGCTGGAATAGGGACATCTACCAAAACGAAAGTCCCTGAGAGGATGTTTCTCAGTGTGCAAAATATTTGTAGCTGTCACAACTGGAGGTAGGACAGAGCAATACTGACATCTAGTGATTAGAGAGCAGGGATGCTAAGCACCACAGTGTGTAAGACAGAAACGGTGGCAAGGAATCACACACCCTCAAATGTCAGTACTGCCAGCTTTGAGAAACGCTCAGGTGCACCCCAAGAGAACGAGGAAAGAGCGAAGAGGAAGCCAAGGGGGACGACTGTGCAACACCCTTGCCACACCCTGGGGAAAATAATTTCAAGAATGATTTTTGGATTCTTAAGGAGGGTTTGGGGAGAATTAATGATAATCACAAACACTTAAGTAAAACAAACCGAAAAAGAAGCTTTACAGGAAAAAATGAGCCCAAACCAAAATGAAATAGAGGTACAAATATATGCCCCTATGGCTTAAGTTCAAAGTGTATTTACATAATCTGAACACTGAATACTGATTTAATGAGAAGTTATGATAGTGTATTATGTGTAGAATAATGTAGAATTACGTTAACACAAAAGTACTAAGTATTTTTCCATGGTAATATGAAGTTAAGAAGTAAAAGTAAATATAAACATATTATGTAGAAAAAAGGAGGCAGATGGTAGGGAAACCACATACAAGAATAAGTCAAAGTTCCTGCTAAGCACCGGCACTCAGCAAAGGAGCTCGTACTGCAAGTGTGTACTCTTCATTGTTGTGTTGTTATGGCTCATACAATCACTTGACTTTTGAAAAACCAGACATGTTTATTATTTGGATGTAGTTTTCTTTATAAAGATCCTACTACGAGGTACTTGTAGCACTCTGGGAGACTAAGGCAGGAAGATTGCAAGTTTGAGCCCAGACTGGGGAATTCAGCTTAGCAATTTAGGATGCTGTCCATGAGTGAATGAATGGGAATATAGCTCTGTGTAAAGGGCCTGTGTTCAGTCCCCAGCAAAGGGTGGGGGGATTTCGCCTTTCCCACTGGGTATATGCCATTTAATATTAAGGTTGTTCTTGAGTGGAAAAGACTTAAGAGTATTAGAAACACTTTCCAAGTAGCCAGGGGAGAAGAGGACTCTGATGAGAGGGTTTAGTATGTGGATGTCTAAGACTGCAGAGACTTTGCCTTTCTATTGGAACCACCAGAAAAGTGAAGAAAATCAAATCTCATTTGCTTTCCAGCTCTTCCACATTGACTTTGGACATATTCTTGGAAACTTCAAATCTAAATTTGGCATTAAAAGAGAACGAGTGCCTTTTATTCTTACTTACGATTTCATTCATGTCATTCAACAAGGCAAGACAGGAAACACAGAGAAGTTTGGTCGGTGAGTATCACCCTCCGGTCAAGGCTAAGCCATCCAACATTTTCTCCTCTGACCAGCTGTGCTAGTATTTCTTAAGTTTATTTGGATCCATGAGATGGGCACTCTGATATCACGAAGCTTTGAGGGGAATTTGCCTGTCTCATCCTTCTTCCTTCTGAGAAATGCTCAAGAAATGGAAAATGCTAGGAATTTGAATAAAATTATTCTATTTCATTCTAACCATGTCCACCACGTTTCTCCTGTTTCAGAAAATTCTCTTGAGACCATTGAGACATTTGACAGTCAGATGTAGCGAGAACAGGTGTTTCACTGTCATTCTGTATGGAAAACAGTAAGGGAGCTGGGGTTCAGACTTTATGATCTATTTCTTCCCTCCTTGTATGTTCTAAAACATGATACTTGTCTTCTTGCCTTTGTCTCCTTATTTCAAAATATGGACAAGAATATTAAATTTCAGGGCTATTGCGGTAAATAGAGGTATATACCATCTGGTCACAATATACTATATGCTTAACAAATGATTGTTCACCATCATTTCTAATTCTGTCAGGTTTCTGCAGACTGTACCTCTCTGTGTCCTGTTGATTTGCTCTTCTGCAAGATAAAGAACTCGGGGTGGGCGGTCTTGGATTACCTTTGAGGAGGGGCAGAGAGCGCAGGACAGGGAGGAGCAGAGCAGAAGCACTGAGGGACCCGGGCAGGGAGGGTGCTCGGCGTCGGACTGCAAATCCAGAAATGCATTCAGAGCTCTTCGTGGGTTACAATTAGCACTTGTGCAGTTATTAGTTGTCTTATCTCATGGAAAATAAAAGGCCTAGACTGTTAGGTTGCCTTTATCACAGAATTTTAATTTAGTTTTTGAGAAAGATACATGCATGAGTTTTGAGAATTTAATTAACATAAATTTGAATCTTAGGACAATTTTCACAGGAGTAAAAATCAGAAATCAGCAGCGGTGCTTGGTTCTAACAGCAGTTCTAAATGTCTTATTTTCCTTTATGAAATGTGCTGTCTTCCCTCAAACACTGCCCATGCGGTTTGCCACATCCATGGAAGGTTCCGCCAGTGCTGTGAAGATGCGTACCTGATTTTACGAAGGCACGGGAATCTCTTCATTACTCTCTTTGCACTGATGTTGACTGCAGGGCTTCCTGAACTCACGTCAGTCAAGGATATACAGTATCTCAAGGTATAGCCCTTTCCCTTGCACGGACTTGGTGGGCATGGACCTCAGTTAGAGCTGCCAGTTTCATTCAAATGTCTGAAGGCAGTGAAACAAAGAAATTTTCTTTTGGATGGTTTTTACCCAAGAAGGAAAGAATCTGAAAAGTTCATATGAAGGAGCGATTTTGAAAGAAGTTTGGCAGTACACACCTGTAACCCCAGCACTCTGAGAGCTGAGGCAGGAGGATCTCAAGTTCAAGTCCCCGGGCAACTCAGGGACTTAGCAAGACCCTGTCTCAAAATGTTAAAGGGATGAGGATATAGTTCCGTACAGAGGCTGTGGGAAGGGAGAAAGAAAGGAGAGGAAGAAAGTGGGAGGGAGAGAAGAAGAGGGAAAGGGAAATGGGAAAAGGCATGCTGATAATGCAGAAGAGTCCCCATCCATAGAAGGGCACAGAATAGACTCGTACTAGGCAGTATCCGCCTTACCCCTGCACACGCACACGCGCACGCACGCGCACACCCACTGGGAGACCGGAGAGTACCAACCGCTTGGCTCCTTGCTCTTCAGCAACCTGCCTTTTACTTGCCAGGGTGTTAGTGGGCAGCTGGGTGCCTTTCAGTAATTATAAATTAATTTCATCTTCAAGAACTGTTTGATGAGGTCATCATACCACCTTCCTGTTCATTTTCCATCCTACAAATGCTTCTTAAGTAAGAACATGAGGCACTCCATCCAGTAGTGGCTGCAGATGTGTGGCCCAGCCAGCGTCTTGATGATTTAGATGTTTGCATATCTCTACTCAGGATTATAAAACCATTATTTTTCCCTTCCATTTTTAGGACTCTCTTGCTTTAGGAAAGACTGATGAAGAGGCACTCAAACAATTTAAGCAAAAATTTGATGAGGCGCTCAGGGAAAGTTGGACTACTAAAGTGAACTGGATGGCCCACACAGTTCGGAGAGACTACAGATCTTAACATCAGCGTTTGCTCCTAATGTATCTTTTAGTTTTGTTTCATTTTTACTTTGCACTTGCACTAAACTGAACATGACCCTGCCAGAGATGTTATAAAGGGAATGAAATCCTGGAACTCAGTTAAATTAAGAACAAGACACCCACAGAACCTGATCCGAACAATCCCTGATGAGCACTCTCTGCCCTTTGAATGCTTCCAAGACCCATCAGGAATCCTGTCAACATTATGGATAATCATTTCCTGCTGACTTTGCACTCCAAGGAATGCGACTAGGGATAGTCTGATGTCTTATTCTTTTATAAATGTTTGGTACTTTGCCCAAAAGTTGTAAATACTTCTTTTCAGTGTTGTGACCAAGTGTTAGCACTCAGCCAAGAACTTCTCCACACTTGGAGGCTGGGAGATGATCCTCCTCCTGAAACAAAGCTTCCAAGGAAGGTATCTTCCTTACCTTTTTAAATTGTGTAAACTGCAAATTATGATATAATTTCAATTTATGATTATTTTTCAGAAGAAATCTTTTAAACTTGTGGGAACTCATTAATTTCTTTGTTAATATTTATTTACCATGATAGCATCATTCCAGCCAGACTTACTGAAAATCTACTGGAGAGGCAAATATATATATTTATAAAATTTCTAGTGGGAGTTCTGTAAAAAAAAGAGACATTTCTTTGGTATTCTTCATTCTGTGTTTTAAAGTTTTACAAAAAGCAGAACTTTTTCCTAAGTTACTTTTAGGTTAGTTAACTGTGAGATCCAGTTCTTCCATCTGCCTCTGTAATGAGGCACATATTAATACACTTTTTATATGATATCTGTGAAAGAGTTCACTTCATAGAGCATAATATTTGAGCAAGTGTATCCAAGAAAGCAAACAAATAAAGAGGAATCTATTTATGGAATAAACTCCAGATTTAAAATTCAGTATTTTAGTAAAATGCCAATTGTTCTTACTGTATTTATTAAAACTTATAATAATGTGAGTTTTCAAGGATATTAGTTCACACTGAAATGGTTTCATGCCATATGGAAATCTTAATTTATTTGTTGAGGTACCGTATATGTAGGGTGCTAGGTGGCAGATGTTAATATGTGCAATAGGAACTACTGGTGTGAATGTGTAAATGGATGCTCTGAGCACTGGCAACATCCAGCAAAACTACTGCTTATTCTCCAAAGAATACTGGGAGCTCTCAACCCTCAATGACATGGGAAAGACAACAGTACTTGCCCTCTGACTGAGTTTTTCTGTAGGAATTTTATTAAAGATTGTTTAATTTTGTTGTCCTTCTTAATGTTCTCAGTCAAATAAATGGGTAAGCTGGTTTTGGCTATTCTTGGAATGTGTGGGCCTCTTCTTTGTAAGCATCACAGGCCTTTGGAACTTGGCACTAGGACTCTAAGAAATGGCCAAGAAGGTGGGCATGGTGGCGCACACCTGTAATCCCAGCATTGGAAGGGTGAGGCAGGAGTACCACAAGTTCGAGACCAGCCTGGGCTGCCTAGTGATTCAAGGCCAGCCTGGATTACAGAGTGAGACCCTGTTTCATATTCCCACCCCCAGAAAGAAAAGAAATGCCCAAGTGGGTAGACTGACCAACCCAAGAAGCTGATGGGCTGAGACGCGGGGCTTCCACCTCTCTTTTGGCTTCCTAAGCCTATCCGGAACAGCGTGGGAGGTCTCTTGGGCTCTGGCAGGAGCCTGAGGTAACTGTCAGGTTTTCAAGGCCTTTGTGAGGTACTCTGGGGCCTGGGAGGATGCCTTATTAACAAGTTACTTGACCCCTGAACCACGGCCGGGCTGTGGCCACTTTTAGAGCTGTCTTTTACAGAACAGATTCTCAGAGCAGCCCAATTTCTTGGACATGACAAATGAGCTAGGGCTTAGCCTCTGAATTCCTTATTCCCCGGACTTACGCAGACTTAGTGAGAGTTCCGGAAACGGGGCTGTAGAGTCTTTCCGAGTACTGGACTAGTCTCAGTCCAGCTTGCATCTGCCAGGCCACGGGTCAGTGGTTTGAAGAGCGGTGAGCATTTCCAGGAGGAAGTGACAGCCACTGTTTCCAGCAGAGTCTCCTTAGCCCCAGAAAGGGGTTTGATAAAAAAAAAATGCCAGTGAATATGAATATTTTCAAGAGCAAGAAAATGAAACGTCAGTAATGTCCCTAGCGGTACTGGGTGTGAACCCAGGATGGCTTTTGACCTCTTCCCACCTCTTCTGTACTGCAGCCCTGCCCTCAAGATAGCCAGGATGGTGTGACTCAGCTGCTAGACATTCCTAGCATGTACTGCCGATGTACTTGCTGAACTACCTGTCTCTGGCTAAGAGGAAGGCCGAAGACAGACAAAGACCCGCCATCCCGGATTAATTAGGACTGTGGGGAACAGGAAGTCTTTTGTACAAGAACTGGTTACACTGGTCACCCAGTGCTTTGGCCTTAAGCACTCTGACCAAACTTGTAGAAGGTTACCTAAAATATTACCCTAAAATACTCACTCCTCTTTTCCTCTCCCACATGACCCTAAAGTGATGTTTTAGAAACTACATTTCCGTACTTGAGGTTAGAATTTGTATCTGCTTACCTGTGGGAAGAGAAAATGACTTTACTGAGCAAGTAATTCTTTTTTGTTGTTTGTATTTTTTCCAGTACCAGGAATCGAACTCATGACTTTGAGTTGGTCAGGCAGGTGCTGTGCCGCTGAGCTAAATCTCCAGCACTAGCACGTAATTCTCAAGTACCACTTCCTGTGTATAAGTAGACCCTGGACTTGAGGGACCAATTGCGATCTAGCTCTACCCTTGTGACCCTTGAAGGAATTTGTTCTAGTTTCTATGGTTCTGAGTTTCCTACTTTATAAAAAGGGGTCAATACCTGCTCCCCTCCTGGGTTAGGGAGAGAGTAGGGTAAAAGTAGGGCTAGAAACATGCTGAAGCCAGGCATGGTGGCACGTGCCTATGATCCCAGCACTATGGGAGGCTAAGGCAGGAGGATTGCAAGTTTGAATCCAGCTTGAGTTGTTACATTAGGTAGATATTTGCTATATGTCAATATTTTATTTGTCTTTGTATTTATACTACAATTATACATCTCTTTTCTATGAGTAGGAGTAGTACTTTACTCATTCTCAGGGTATGTTAATAACCAGTTTGTCCTTGACATTATTACCTTTGCTGATTTTATTACTAGTGCAAGGTGGTATAGTTTTTACTTTGAATTGCTCTGTTTGCCAACATCATGATGTTATTTTCCTGTTGTTGGCTCCCCCGTTTTTTTTTTTCCCCTTGCTTGTTTGTTTGCCTTGTCTGGTGAATTCCTTCTGTTGGGTTCATGGGATTGTAGTCCTTATTTTCTCTTTCCAGAATGTCCTTCAAAACATTTTGGAGTGCTGGTTTGGTAGTCAAATTTCCTCAGCTGTTCTTTGCCATGGAAGTATCTTATTTCTCCATCAGTTTTGAAAGATAGCTTTGCAGAGTATATCCATCTGGGTTGAAGGTGTTTTCCTCTAGAGCTTGAAGTACTGCACTCCAAGCTCTCCTTGACTTCAGGGTTTGTGCTGAGAAATCAACTGTGATTCTGTTGAGCTTTACTTTAAAGGTGATTTGTTTCTTTTCCCTAACAGCTTTTAATATTGTATTCTTGTGTTGAATTTCTGGAATCTTGACTATGATATGCCTGGCTGTAGATATTTTTGGTCTTGGCCAATTGGAGTTGGATATGTCTCACTTAATTAGTATGTCAAATTCTTTTTCGCTACCTGGCAAGTTTTCTGCTATGACATTTGTGAAGTTTTCTGTATATCATTTGTGCTATCTCCTGCTTTTTCACTGGCTTCGGTCAATCTTAAGTTATTCTTCTTCCCATCATCCAGCAGCTGCTGTATCAATTTCTCATGATCTCTTGCTATTTTTTTAGAAATGTTTCTTTACATGAGCACTAACTGTAATCCTGTCTTCTGTACCTGAGATCCTGTCCTCACATTGGCATAATCTGCTGTGAATACTTTCAGTGGAATTTTAATTTGCATGGATATCTGCTTGAATCTGCCTTATGGATTCCATTTCTATCCTGTGCTAAGCATTCATGGCTTCCATAATTTTCTTCAGCTCCTGTACTTTCTTGTCTGTATCTGCTCTAGTCACTAAGCATGGTTTTCATTGTGGACACCTGCAGTTATCTGAGAAATTATTTCTGATTTGATGTTTTCTAGAACCTCATTCAGTTGCTTTTGTTGTTACCACTTCAAAGAGGCCAGGTGAGTGGTTTTTGGATTGCCCCACCTCATTGCCCCTGGGTTTGTCTTTGGTGGTGTTCGGAGTTGCATCTTCTGTAAGGGTCTCATTTTCTTATCTTTTTTCCTTTTTTTTTTAGTTTAATTCCTGGGATGATGTTTGTAAATAGCCTATAGTGGGGGATTTTTTGCTAGTATTTAGAACCCTTAGAAATGACTACTTGTCCTAGCTGTCTTCCAGGTATAGCTGGTTTTTGGTTTTTGAGGCTCCTGTAAGATCCTACCTCTTGCTGGGCATGGTGGCACATGCCTGTAATACCAGCACTTGGGAGGCTGAGGCAGGAGGATCAATGCAAGTTCAAGGCCATCCTGGGCTACAAAGTGAGTTCAAGACCAGCCTGAATTGCATAGTGAAACTCTGTCTCAAAAAGACAAAAAATAAATAAATACATACATACGTACGTACATACATACATACATACATACATACATACATAAATCCTGCCCCTTCAAGTTGTTGGGGCCTGTTTGGCCCAGCCCCTGGTCTTTGGCACTTTGCCACGGTATTTTCTGTGATTCTTACTCGATCTGTCTTGGAATACTAGGAAGAACAGCTGTTTAGAACAATTATGCCCCTTTTGGTTATAGTAGTACCAATAATAATAACATAAAATACAACCTAGAAAATTACAAACTAAAGTAACCATTAATTTGCCATCTTTTAACTGACTGAACTAGATTTGTGGTTATATAACAAAATCTGAAACAAACCAGAAAATTGTATGCAGTATGTAAGTCCTTAGCATGTCAATTTTTCCCTCAGGGGTTAAAATTTAAAATGGGTTAGGGGGAAAACAGAGAAGTGGAAGAAAAGGAACAGATCAGAGGGCTGGAGAACAAAGGGGGATCATACTAACTTTGGGAAACTGGTGCAGAAGATAGGAGGGAGAGAAGAAAGAGAACACAACCACAGAGACCAGACACCATGTTCACACTCATAAGTTCAAACAATGAAGGAGAGAGAAAAAGCAACAAACAAAAGAAAAACGAGAGCCAAGCTGGGTGTGGTGGCACATACCTGTAATCTCAACGCTTGGAGGCTGAGGCAGGAGGATCGTTTCAAGTTTGAGACCAGCCTGGGCTACAAAGTGAGCTTAAGGCCAGCCTGAACTGCATAGCGAGACCCTGTCTCAAAAGACAAAAGAAAACAACAACGACGAAAAAAGGGGGACAGGAAGTCCACTTCCAGCTTTGTCTGCTGTCACTGGTAAACAATGTATGGAGACAGCGTCTGGATTGATCCATGTTGATTTATCCCAAAAAGCCAGCGAACCTGCACCGTCTGGCGGCTTGCAGCCATCAGTACACCTTCCTCGGTCCTTAGCCCAGCTGGGAGCTGCTAGATGGAGCCAGCAGCCATTCTGAGTTCAGAGCTCTATCCGTCCCTCTCCAAAATAGTTCCTGACCAGTTACTGTCTTGTGCGGGATGGTTGAGCCCTCGGCATTCACTGGCAGCTAGTGCAGTCCTTCATGTCTGCTGCTGCCCTCCACTGCTGTGTCTGTCCTTGGAGGCCTTGTGGTCGCCAGCTCTTGCCATGTGTCTGCAGGTTTGCACTGCTCCTTTCATGCAGTGTTTCTCATCTTGGGCAGAACATGCCATTGGGTACCTCCTTCTTCACTGGAGTTGCTCTCTTCACTCCATGGGCTTCAGTTCATGCCTCAGGTCCTTCCTGGGCCCAGAGGACCCACTTCCCTCCATTTTTCCCCAAGTTGCTATATTCTGGCGTCTGGATGGCAACACTCAGGTTCTTTCTCTGCTGCTTACCACTCCGCCATCTTGCCCCTCCATCCTGTGTGCCAGTATTTGGATGCCTTTGTGCCGTTAACACTGCTGTGGCCCATTTCCAGGAAACTGGGTGCTAGGGCAAGTTCACTGCCATTTACCTCCCAAGTAAATGCAGGTAGTTGAGCCTTGGGACAGAGGCAAAGGTCTAGAGTTAGCCATGCCCAGAGCGCATCACCGAAAAGCAGACACTGAAGGTGTGTCAGTATTAGCAACAAAGTCTTCTACTATGATCACCCTGCAAACTTTAGGGCAACAACAACAAATAAG